TAATGTCTAACTTCAACTAACCTACGAAATTAGGTGACACAATTTTTAAAAAAATTTCTTGTGACTGATTTTAAACTGTAAAAATTAATCTGTCTTAAATCAGTTGAATATGGTTAAAGAAACTGCGTGATAGAAAAAGTCAAACAGTTTGCTACTTCTAAATGATTCATCTATTTCGGGCAGGGTACTTTACATTTTAAATATACAAACTAGTGAAATAAACATAAGTGACATTTATCTTGCTTTCTAAATATATCTAATACAACTTGTTTTCATGTACTGAATCATCGACGTCAAAAAAATTTAATCAAGCCAGCGTATCTATACTGTGATTTGTATTTGATTCCTATGGTGTATTGGTGAGACTATAATTTATGGACGATCTTTGAGTGATGTTAAACTGATCTTGAGAATGCCCAGCTACTAATTAGAACCAAATGAGGTTTATAAATCAGGGTGAGGAACTACAATTATGATTTATGGTTGATGGTTAAGGTTAGAAATTAGATTTAGGGATTTCATCACGAATTGACATCAACTATAATGCCGAAACTATTTAGTCAAATAGATGAGTGAATTTCGCGCCAAAATCCGATACCTGTTTTCTTATACCTGATTGGTTCATCCATAACTTATAGTCTCGCCGGTGTATTTCATCTAGTTGTATTACTACTATTCTCAATTGAAATAATGAATATCTATTTTTGAAAAACACAACTGTGTTATTGCTGGCATCCAATTATGTTAATGTCTAACTTCAAATTTATTCATGATCTTAAGGTCTAGAGGTTAAGCGTTCGCGCGCGGAAGCAATTGTCTTGGGCCCGAGTCCCATGTGTAGAATGGTGGATGTACACTACTCAGGAGTCCCATATTGAAACGAAATAGCCGTTCAGTGCTTCTAGGTTTTCAATTACGGTTTAGCTTAGATCGACTCATGAATTCAACTATTAAAATTACTACAATCTTCACCAATCCCCATTCTGATAATGATAATAATAACAATAATAAATATATGTATAGAAATTTGTAGAAAAAAAGGTGTCATATTCAATTAAAAATAATGCTCTATTACAAAAGATCTTTTTAACAGTTTAAATGAATGCATATACCGTCTAGCAATTATTCTTGGAAATATGCTTGATTGTTGTTCGTTATTTTTTTTAACTCGTTGCTTTCAACATTGAATACACATGGTTACAATAATACTATCAATAAGTCTACGGAATAATGAATAATTGAATTCAAATAAATTTGTTTTAATCTAATCTATTTTATCACGCATGTTTAAATAATGTACGAAATTGTGTGTGTGTTTGTGTGTGTGTGTGTGTGTGTGTGTAAATATATTTCAATATATGGAACATTTAGTAGTCAGCTATCAATTATAGACAATGTAAAAACCTAGAATGAATGTTTATACCTAAAGTGAGAGAGATATTACATTTATAAAATAAGAAATAAAGGAAAGAAAGAGTGAAAACACTTTGACTTTGTTCAAAAATTAAAAATACAGCTTGGAACTAATGAATATAAGTGAAGAATGAAAATTATGAACTGAGATATAATTCGAAATTTGGATAAAAATCAATGCATCGTGACTCCATTTTGAACTGTACTATACAACGTCTTCCATAGTAGATTATCTTAATGGTACGAAGGTTAAAAAAGAAAAATGAGTCGTTTTGAATAGAATAAATAATCTTTCATCATCATAAATAAAACTTTGTGCTAACCTTGGATCCTCAGTAATTCTGACGTCAGATGTACCGTGATGAATAAACACTCAGGTAGGAGCGACCAAATGTATTTTAGTACAAAAATTACAGAATCTCTTGAAAAAATATGAGAACCATATGTTGGATAATTTACTTTCAAAATTCCATCATTTATCCTTCATATTCTGTATGATTGTTCCAAGTCACAATTTTTTTTCTATTTTCGTTTCTGTTTTCTTTCCAACTTGATCTCCTTAGCCTTCTGCTGCCAGGGTTTTAACTTCCGATTGGTGTTACATACTACTTTTATCTGTAGACATAATTAGCGTGCACCACAATTCCAGGTAAGTGGATCATAATTTATAAACATCCTTGACACACTAGGCCACTTAATTTTACCTTCTTATGCAACATGTGAGTTGGACAGCTAATTTTACCTTCTTGGCAAACTATCCTTATGTCTTGACTGCGAGACTATAATTTATGGACAACCTATGGGCGACGCTAGACTGACCTTGAGAGTGTTCACCTAATAACTACGACCAAATGAGGGTTATAAACCGGTGTGTGGAATTAGAATTAGAATTTACATTTGATGATTAAGGTTGAGAAATAGATTTAGGTTTTTCACCACGAATTGACATCAGCTATAATGCCGAAAATCTATTTAACCAAATGTATTGGGTGAATTTCGCGCCAAAGTCTTGTATCTGGTTGGTTCATCCATAAATTATAATCTCACCGTCTCGACTAATAATCTGTTATGCAAACAGTAGTACAAACTCTATACCTGATCATTCACAAGCTTGAATATATAGATGAATAAATGTATAAACAGCTAGAACACAACGTACAATAATTAAGAAAGTAAAATGACTGCCAAAAATAAGACGTTTATGGTAAAAATTGGGAATACAGTGTTCATGATTAAGTTTCACTAAATTGCGAAAGAAGTTAGTAACAACAGTTTATAGATCAGACACAAACTTATGATTAGGTGAATAAGAAAACCATAAACCAATTGTTAGTTATTTCATGCTAAAAACATTTAGAGCAATAATTTCCATGAGACAGGTCACAGAGTTTGCCATTCACCTTTTCTTTTTTTCACAACGGATTCGTTGTGGTTTATCAGTATAAAGTCTTTAACTTGATGGAATCTTCATCCTACAATGGACGTGAAGGTGGTAACAGGATATTTGTTAGTTTTAGCAAAAAAGTCTATTCTGTTTAAGAATTTGTTGTTCAACGAATAATTACAACACGGCATCGTCGAGTTATCCATGAAATGCTAGAATAAAAATCATGATTTCGAGCTACCAACACTTTCGGTGATGTTTTTAGGTGGTGAATAAACCAAGAAAATGACATTGAACCGCTTAACAAATAGATTTTGTGTAATATAATTGGAGGTAGTCAGGGAGAATCTGTTTGAGGAAGATTTCATGGTAGTTACGAATCGTCAGTTAGGAGTACCCTTACACTTCAGAGAACTGGTAATCCATGTAGGATCTGAATTCAAGTCATTTAGCTTCGTGATTTGACTGATAAGTCCCAACTGAAGAGAAAGCCACGTCTGAAGTTTCTTACTGACCGCTTCCAATAACCGTATTGTCAACACACTTAGTTCAATGACCACATGGTAACTTGATGAATAAAATTCAATTGGCACTAAAGGCTAAATGAACGTGACATTGATTACTACTCATCAATTAACCGATAAAAATATAAAATTATTTTTATCTGTATTAATAAACATCATACAAAAACCATGTATATGAATAACTTCTATGGTGTATTCACTTCTTTGAATTTCAGCCGTAAAATGTGAATTAAATAAAAATTTTAAAAAATATCGGCGAGACTAATTTATGGACGAACCAATCAGGTATAAGAAAACAGGTATCGGATTTTGGCGCAAAATTCACTCATCTATTTGATTAAATAGTTTCGGCATTATAGTTGATGTCAGTTCGTGATGAAAACCGTAAATCTAATTTCTAACCTTAACCATCATCCACAAATCATTTGGTCCTGGTTATTAGGTGGACACACTCAAGTTCAATCTAGCGTCGCTCAAAGGTCATCCATAAATTATAATCTTACCAAAATATCACTATTAATTGATACAAATGGATTGAATGTAATTATGAACAAAGTTACTATTTAACTGTTATGAAAAACTATTGATTTTTTCAAAGTAATTTGAATCATTCAAATGAATGTTTGAAAGATAATTGTTTATTAGACAAGACAACAACCTCAGCTCCTTGTTCTGTTGAATCATTGTCAACAAGAATGTTAATGGTAACTAAATTAATCATCAATCTGGAAGGTTTGTAGGAAAGATTGTTTAGATTATACAATGATTTCAGTTAAGGAGATATCACAAATTATGTAAATTTGTTCAGTTGTTTTATTCTTGATAAGATTTCATCGCTTTTCATTTCAACGATACCTTTAAAGATCAAACTGAAGACCTATAGAATCCATGAACTCTGTGTTATATTTGAACCAGTGAATTTTTCATCTAATCACTTACTATGACCAAACAGTAATGAACAGGTTATTCATTTTCAAAGTTTCTGTAAATAAAAGTTAAACTATCACGTAAACTACCGTTAAATTAGCTACGTCAAAGGAACTACGGTTTTTACACAGTAAAATGTCAACAGTCTTTCAAGTACATTGTTATTACATCGTCGCAAGAGTAAATTAATGCCATGAACAAAGAATCGTTTTAAGTAATACATTATTAAAAATAAAAACGTTTTAAGGAAAAATTTATATTTTGCTATTTAATTCCTAAATTATAATTTGTAACATTAATTTTCATCTAAAAAGGGATCATGATATTCCACTTATTCTTTTGTATACTGAATAACAAAAATGATCTTCCGTTCAAGCTCGAGAACGAAGGTCCTGGGATCCAGTCCCATGTATGAGATCGTGGATGGGCACTGCTAAGCAGTCCCATACAAAGACGAAATGGTCGTTCAGTGCTCCCAGATTTTCAACGGTGGTCTAGCTTAGAACGACTCATGAATTCAACTGTTAAACTTACTACAATCTTCACCAAACCCCATTATGATAAAGAAAATAGACTAATTCAATACAAATATAATTTCATTATAAATCAAGTGTGAAGTTGAATCATCGACTAATTTGTTATTTCTGTTAGCATAAAGAAAAAAAACGAAGGAATACATTGTTAAAATAATTTTACAAGAACAATATAATGAATTATAGCATTGTGAGTGTAGTAGTTTGATCATACTTCAGATGATGATGATGATGATGATGATGATGATGATGATGATGATGATGATGATGATGATGATGATGATGATGATGATGATGATGATGATGATGATGATGATGATGATGATGATGATGATGATGATGATGATGATGATGATGATGATGATGATGATGATGATGATGATGATGATGATGATGATGATGATGATGATGATGATGATGATGATGATGATGATGATGATGATGATGATGATGATGATGATGATGATGATGATGATGATGATGATGATGATGATGATGATGATGATGATGATGATGATGATGATGATGATGATGATGATGATGATGATGATGATGATGATGATGATGATGATGATGATGATGATGATGATGATGATGATGATGATGATGATGATGATGATGATGATGATGATGATGATGATGATGATGATGATGATGATGATGATGATGATGATGATGATGATGATGATGATGATGATGATGATGATGATGATGATGATGATGATGATGATGATGATGATGATGATATAATAATAATAATAATAATAATAATAATAATAATAATAATAATAATAATAATAATAATAATAATAATAATAATAATAATAATAATAATAATAATAATAATAACTGTCAACTTAATCAATCAATATGATAACTAATCCAACTGACAATTTTTTAATTGGGCAAGTCATGAATTCAACACGATATGATCATTCGATATCAAATCGAATGTCTATATATTCTATGTTAATAGCGATATCTCTTAAATGATCGTTGGATATCAGGATACCATAACATCTTTTCCCTTTCTAGCTCTGGATACACTAAATAATAAAGGTGAAGTGAAGTTTCCATTTGATCCACTCTGTTGAAGTCTTACAATAAAGATGTATTGGTAAAGATTAATAATCGTTGAATCCATTAATTTCCATACAGATTATATGAATATAATGATTAGTAAAAAAATATAAATTTATCACACAGTATAAATATCACATAAATTTGATATAACTGAATGGTTATTACTGACTAAAATGTGAAGTCAGGAAAAGAATCACAGTAGTCATCGATACACGATCATGTATTGGATTTTTATTCGAATAAATTTTATTTGAGGATTTAACAATAACAAATGTGTTGAGACTGATATGGTGAGTAATAACCTAAACAATTGCACTGCGAACAATATAGGAAATTGATTTTTGTTCCCAATCGTATGTGACATGTATTCATCACATACTAGCAAGTTTTAAATTAAAAAAAAAGAAACTCATTAAGGAGATCGAAATAATGCCTTGAAAATGTCAAGAGGGTCCCTGGAAACGCTGCGAAACATTTTATGTGAAATACTTTAAACACCCCCGATTTTCTGTACATGAACTAATTTTGGAGTAAAGCCTTCTTTTCACACTTCAAGTCTTTCCTCTCATGCTCAAGTTATCGTGTAGATTTGTCCTATGCGTTGTTAGAAAAGCTTAGGAAACCGATTCAATTCAACCCTGACTATAAACAATAGGTATAACCATTAAAATCTTATAGTTTAATTAACCTTGACAAATTATAATCACCCTGACAACAAAATAAAAGACCGCTTCACATTTCAAATATGCTAATTCTTTAGTTTAATTCGGTTTCTTATTTATTTTACTTTTAGTAAGACGAAACCATCATTACCGTCATCCAATCCGCGTACAGTGGTTTTTAGCATTTGTCCAACAGGGAAACTACACGTCGAGATTCTGGAATATTCTTCCAAAAGATGATTGGATGGAATATCTTCAGCTCTTTCTGAGCTTCCTTGAGTTCACCCATAGGCTGTCTTCACAATTACTTACCATCTACTTAATAATCAATGTAGTTAAAATTATTAAGTCGAAACTTATTAATGGTACTCACGAACTAATAACTATAACAATCAAAAATGTGAATTGCGTTGTAAAAAGCAAACAACCTATAATAAATCACATTTATACAGAGTTAATTTACTTAAATGAAAATTAAACGTAGGATTAAAGAAAGAGATATAATGAATTCTGTACAGTAATTTCAATGTCAAATAATCTATTATAATCTAAATTTATTCAGTTAAGAGTGTTTATCAAATAAGTATGGATATTTTGAATACTTCCTATTTGTATAGGTGTTAAATACATTTCATAAGTAGATAAACCATTGTACCATTTATTATATTATATGTAGGAATGTTTACTGATAGTTATTTGGGTGTATTAGTTACACCTACATTGAAATTATACTGTCTTTGATTGATTCTCTGAATCAATCATAATTACAGAGGTCATGTATATACATGTTTATACACTTCTAAAAGGAATGTAGACGTACAATAGTAAACGCCTACATGTATATTAAAAAGATTATACTTCGTTTATCAGTCAATTGAAAAGTATATGTTTTCATTAGGTAAGTTTCTTTTGTTTTTAATCTGAATTAACACAATGATGAATATCAAGTGATCATGTGTTTTCCCAATCATACTGAAAAAGCAAACAGTTCATATGCATTTCATGTTTAAACATACATCTGAAATAGAATGGTGCATAAAAGGTATGACTAATATACCTGTTCTAAATCTATCTTTATTTTGTATAAACAAAGGTTTATGTATAAAACTTTAGCGTTATATACATACATTAAAACAAACTATTTCCTTTCTATCTGAATTCTAATACTAAACAAGCAAGGCTGCTATTAAACTCAACTCGATTTCGTAAACGTGGCAGTCTGCTTAGTGACCAATCAGAATGAAGAGATAATTATTATGTCCACCATCTTTGTATGCAATGGCGGCCGGCTTTCTTCGTTCTCTGCTTTTTCCGCTATTTCTTTTGTGTAGCTACATAATTTAATGTTACAGTGTGCTAAAATGCAGAAGTTTATGTAATATTCTAAATGTTGGAGCAAAATTTTTTCTGATTTAGCTTTGTTTTCTGGGTTTTTGCTGCTGCTACTCAAGTCAATGTATTTCTTCAGCCAAGCTGGCTAGTCTTATGTTTTAAAATAGTAATCGGTTTTGTTTTGACTTGTTTTCTAGATATCCAAAGCTGAAGTTCGTTTTTTTAACTAAAATAATTGTTACTGCCGCCTGTGACTCTAACTGTCCGCATGCTCGTTCCTAACTGTCTTTTATGATGTTATCAACAAAATGAAAGGAAACAATCTCCGGTTTTTAATTTTCTTCAGTATTATGGACAAAACTATCCCATCTACGAATCAAACTAATACTGAGTGCCCAGTAGTAGGGGATATCAGTGTTGTTTTCGAAAGGACCCAGACTTCCGACAACCATAGACGAAGTTACAGATGCTACCAATCTATTGCAGAGGGTTTGTTATAAAAAATATGCCATGTAGCAGTAATCGAGGGGTTGTACTGATTACGTAGTGCGTTAAAGTAAGCTTAACATTGAAAAGCCGGAAATCTGCTATCCGTGTGTAGTGTATGTTTGCCGTTTTGGCCATAAAAGAAGTCGAAGGGTCATGATCAAGGAGTAAGAAGGTAATTAACTGTTATTAAACTCATATTTCACCACTCGAAAATTTGTGTTTTTTTTACGGTATGATGTCAACCGGTACCTAATATGTTCATCCTTACGATGAAAAGTATCTGCAAATTCTCACCTTCATATTCGAATTATTTTTGGACAACTGTCTTCCAGTTTGATGGCTTCGTACGCCCTGGGAGACTAGATTCCTACATTATTCGTAGTTCCAGTATAACTTTCTCACGCAGTAAGTTCAAAGTAAACAATAGTCATTCTAAATAAGCCTGTTAAGCTAATATCCGTATTCTCTATTTCAGTTAATCGATGAAGAAATGTACCACGTGCATCTGCTGTATACTGCCATTTTACTCCGATTCTAACTGTTATATCTTAATTCTGAAAAATAAAATTGCTATATGCAGCAAATACAGACTTATTTGTTTTGATGGAGATAGGGGGGTTCATGGGAATTTTAGCGGGACTGTAGTAATATTCTCACTAAGGAGCTAAGTGTGTGCGTAGACCAATGTAAGGTACCATACAGGGCGCCTTTGAGTTACTAGTGTTCCATTAGTGTGGGTAGAGGCATTACTTGCTTATCATATGACATTTGAATAGGAAACTGTGAGATTAGACGCAGGGACAGTTAGGATGTGCAACGCGCGTCCATCCATCAGCTGCCGTGACAACTCATGGTAGTTAGAATAAGTTATGAGAGGACCCGATTCTGTAGGTTTCCCAAGAAAATGACGAAGATATGTACTACATCACTTAAATTTACTACATACGAACAATGTGCTGAGGGGCTCGTATTTCACAAGCTTCTTGCAACGATTAAGTAGATAAAACAAAGTAGCATTAGATTTAGAAATTTATTCAGGATCTTTTATTAAGAATCGAATATCAAACAAAGGTTTAAACCAGATTCCCGTTTAAAAGTTGCATTGGTAATGTTAAGCTGCAGTCTTTGTTGTTGTTTTTTTCAAACGAAAGGGTAAAAGAAGTAACTCAAAAAAATACTGAAAGTGGTTGTGAGACTAAAATGGACGTCCAGCATCCTTCTTATAATCTGCTGTTAGTTGGGTCTCCCGTAAACAGTTTCATAGGGCCATAGTTCTAAGGGTCAAACAGTTTTTACGATATGTGAAGGCTCACTCCTGTTGCATTCTAAATGAAAAAATAGTAATGAATTTAGTCAGAAATGTGGTATAGATAAATAAACAAATTACATGTTTCTTAACAAAGAATTTATGCAGCTGTGACTTACCTTGTGTTCATGAATATTAGATCAGGTCAGCTACTACGACTTGTGCAAAGCATAACATGGGCTTAGTACCGCATCGCAAAGCTTTTATTATTTTGCTCCCATTTAAGTATTCCCATGCATCTGCGTCTAGTTTGACAGGAAGACATACAAGCAGAGTTAGTGTCTGATAAACTAAAAGTCCCAGTTGTCAAAAAGATTCTTAGCATTTGTCCACAGCCAGCTACATTTAATTGAGACACAGAACACCCATCTTCTAAGACTGTATACTGCTGTTATGTGGGCAACTAAAACCTCAGACGCTTAGCTATCTTGCTACCGATGTTATTGCTGGGGGAAATTGTTCAATGACAGTGATCATGAAATTTGGTCAGTGATAGATGTACAGTCTAGAAATAAACAACAAACATACTTATCGCTATCTTATAATGTATGACAGCAACAGCATCAAAGGCACGGTTTTTCCTATTTTTAATCAGACTGGTCTGAATCGGTATACTCATTAAAACAGGCAGCTATACTTACTAAACTGATCTGTTTCGTTACAGGCTTCAAGCACTATACTTAGGTGCTTACAACTAAACTGAATTATACGACAACCAAGAATACTAAACTAAGCAAGTGTCATAGTTATTGTTTCATTTGCACAGACATGTTGCTCAAAGTAGTTAAATGGACATAATTAAGCCGATAAAACCAAAACACGAAATATAGGCCAGTTGAACTTACCTAACAGAAGACAAAGGATATATATATATATAT